ATAACTTTTTTTTTGTTAGCCATGTTGCTGACAAAGATATATATAATCATGCAATAATTGTAATCTATAGGACAGGGGACTGATTGGGCAAAAACCCCTAACCAAAATTATAAATTGGTTAGTATCAAAGAAACAGAGAATTTATGAAAATGATTATACAAAACAAACACTATTTTACAACTTTCCTCTTAACATCAGAGCCCAATGCAATTTCAGGGCCACCAACCCTGCTCTGAATTGTGACCTCCGTGCTTGAAACAAGTTGCAGATTCTCTTTGCTTTGATGATCTGGATGTTTATGCGCACCTAATATTACAATTCATCAACAGAGTTGCAACTTGGTCACAGAGCCATCCTTGCCCTAGAGGTGGGATCATTGCAGGTGACTTTTCGGCTAACATGGCAGCCTTCTCTGGTCTGAGGGAAGATTAGTGAAAGTGTCATTGATGATTGATGCAGTCTCAATAAACTTCCAGGGCCATGCGCCTCCCCCCTGGTATTGAAGGCATCATCATATCCATAGGGCGGAGCAGGTCAGATTAGCCTTGTGTACACGAGGAATGTGTGAGAATGACTGTAAAGTGTTCAAGGTAACATGCATGCTTCAACGTCTGCTAATTTCCGATAATCAAACATCGCATACCGAAATGTTTCATACTTGAAATTTTTCATATTGAAATGTTTCTTTTTCAACAGTGTATTGCCTTGACATCTTCTTGTAATTATATATTGATAACAGTATTATTATTACGATTATGCAAAGCAAAATATTATCAATGAAAATCTTGTAATTACCCAGCAAAGATCTGCTCGCGTTTTTGATTCCAATTAAAATATTTATAAACTAAAATAAAAGACACCTCATTTATATCAATACAAATAAAAAATAGTACCTCTGGTTAGTTATTAACACGTATTCTTTAGGAGACCCAAGCCAAACCAAACAACAGCACTCACGTTTTGTCACCTTGGACTCTGTCAAAAAATAAATTGTTTTTCCAAAAAAAAAAATCAAAATCAATTCGCGTCTGTCCTATGGTGCAAGTCACCTAGTCCCGCAACTTGCTGCGCCTCGTGACCAATTTTGGGAAAAATCATCAAAACTCAGAATTGTAAGTTATTCTCAAAAATGCAATAAAATTTTTATATCACGTGAGCTTTAATGGTGATACAAATTAAAAAAAATATTTATATTAATATATATAATGTTATAACATTGCTAAAAAAAATTTTCCTTCTTCATGTGAAGAAGCAAATGCTCATGCGGAAAGCATTCTTTGAGAGCTTTGCCCTCAAAGAATTTTTGGACACCATAC